ACCGGTGACAAAGGGCAGCCCTGCCGGAGTCCAACATGCACTGGAAACAAGTCTGACTTACGGCCAGCGATGAGAACCAAGCTCCTGCTCCGGTTGGAGGAATGTTGTTATAATTGGTGTGTAAAATAATCTGAACGTGCAATACATAAATTACACTCCCAGCAACAGCCTAAGGAAATGGAAAGCCTTTTGACTGGGCCATGATCATAATGAATTAACACATTAATTCCAGTTTGGTTTAGGAGATTATGAAAGTGGAAAGTTGTCTTTTTTTAACAAGGACCCATGAACATGCTTTAAATTTTAGACTGTGATTCATCATTGATTTTTTTTTTACCAAACTTGTTTTATACTACACACTTAAATTATCATGCATGAGACTCAACATTTCCAAAACACCTTTTGTTCTCCAATCATATTTGTCTCTTATGACATTACATGAAGTATCACAACTATGCTTACGGGCCACCTGTCATGGTCATATAAAAGCAGCAGGGTGCCTTCACAATGTATCAGTGTTCTGCTATAGAAAATTTTAATATTTCTCTGCTGACCTTGGTGACGTTCCTGGTCAGCCGCCCAAGGTGAACTTTAGTTGGTTTGGGGCTTGGGCTTCTTTTCCTTCGCTCCTTATCATCTCCCCTCTTCTGTGTTTTGGACCTGCAATATCACAGACAAAACACTGATTAACTTCACCGTAATTTAAATACTCAAATGCAAACATTGTGAAAATTCAGTGTACTGTGTTCGATAAAATGACTTGCGCTGAGCGGGAGCGCCGGCGGTTGTCATGGCGTCTGCGGCTGGGGCTTGGGGAGCCTGAGGAGCTTGACGAGGAGGAACGGGAACTAGAAGAACCAGATCGGCTGGAACCAGATGAGCTGGATCCACTTGAGGACCCAGAGCTGGAACCAGAGGTGCTGCTTGAAGTAGAACTAGATCTGAACATTGCCAATGACAAAACACATTAGAAAATGCATATAATTAAGAACTGATGTTGCCACTACAAAACACAAATAATAATGATTTAGAAAATAAACCTGCTGCTGCTGCTGCCAGTTGAAGCACTGCGGCGTTTCCTTTCTTTCTCACGTCCTCTTTCCTTTTCTCCTTCCTTTGTACCAGTTTTTTCTTTGCCTCTGTCCTTTGTTTTTTCCTCCTCCTTCCGTTTTGTGGGTGATGGTGCCCTTAAGTTGGGGGCAAGTTGCTGTTACTTTGACATCATGTACTTTGTGAATGGTGTTATTTTCATTATTTATCAACCCATCAAAATTTAAAATATAAAAAAAATAGGTAAAGTTGCATATAATAATTCCCCAGAACCCCAGATCATGTCTTTAGACTCAAAAGTCCCTAACTTACACATATTCAAGCTAACTTAGTAAACAAAGCAGGTTTTGCTTCAGAAATGAAGCGAGGAGTAGACGTCTCTTCAACACAAGGACATAATCCGGCAGTGTATAACTAGAGGAACACACGCACACACGCGCACACACACAAAGGAAATAACTGACGAAAGAGCAGCAAACTGTAAATTTCTCGCTGAACGTAAAAACAGACCCTAATTCCGAGCTGAAAATATTTACATGGCTATTTTTAAAATTTCGATGGCTTTATTGTTAATGGGGGTGCGTATATATCTCAGTATCACTACTGTTATCAATTAAACATCTCAAACGAATAAACTTAATGCCAACGACCGTATACTGATAGAAATCCCCCGCCATTGATTTTCATTCAGCTGGTTCCCAGACAAGCATAAGATAGCCAGAGCTGTTTATCGATAACTGTTTTTATTATGAAGTGCACCTACGGTTAGAAAATGTTACACGTTATAACATACTGGAAGTGAAACTAACTTGACTCCGCTCCCATAAAAACCTAAACTTACATTTCTTTTAGACGGGGTGATTTCGCTTCAACCACTTGCTTCCTGAGAAAACGTCGCTCTGTGATGACGACAAAGCGGAAATTACGTGTCCAGCCGAGCGCCATAAGCATCACGTTTGTTTATTTTTGTTGTTATCGATAAAGATGTGAGTACTGTGCATTATAATTCAGTGGAGGAAAAATAATGGGTGACATTAATGGATATTCATCTTTGGCCTTAAAAAACAAACAACAAAAACCTCAACACATCAGCAGCAGGTAAAGAGCCTGAACTCTACGTTATTCAGTGTAGTCATTGGTTTAGCAGACTTTAATGGATGGTAAACAGCTGGAACACTACTGTTTGTTACTGTTATTTAACAAGGCTTTATGTAGCCTATTCCTCTGTAAGATGATGGAGACAAAATACTAGTGGCAGTGGAATATAAAATCAAACCGATAACGACAAATTTATTTAGATCTTGCTCTATAGGATCTAACCTCATACTATGACCCAGCAATTTTGGTGATCTGCAGTTGGAGTTTTAAAATAAGTAGGGTTTTAGATGTTTATTACATTTAAAAATCATGTTCAACAGCATTTAATAACTATATAAACATAAATTTAATCAGAGTAACTGACATACCATTAAAACAATTTAATTTATTCAAAAGCTAAATTTTAAACCTTATTTAGTCCAGTTTTGAAATCTTCAGGGCTTTTTTAAAATTGCACTACAATCACTCTTACTCAGAAGTATTCACATATGGCTGCCTCGGTTCTGAACCAGAGACAAATACTTTGTGTGTATAACTTACTTGGCCAAATAAAATGATTATCATTATGATAATAATAATAATAATAATAATAATATGATAAATGAGGCCCAATTATCCAGAAGAACCAGGCCAAGGCTGGTAAAAGTAGTACAGACCAAATGTAATGTTCTAATTTGCACAATTTAAATTTAATTCACCTTCACTATATTGCTGTGGCACCGGCAGCAGAGAGGGATGTCTCATATTTCAGTACTTAAAATTAGAATCATCTGTACAGCAAATCTCCACAATGAGAGAAGATCGAATTTGAAAATTTGGCTATGAATACATTCATGAAGTCTGCAGACAGCTAGTGCTAGAGCTAAATGCTAGAAGCAAGCGCATATACCAGAACATCAAAGTAATTAAGAGCCTTTTAAGGCAGACAAATCCAAACAGATCAGCCCTGTTTTTCAATTTAAAGTATTGTGAAATGTTACACGTAATTCTTCTATTTAGATAAAATGATTGTGGTGTGTCAAACACTGACATGTTTGTGCAATTCTCCACAAACCCCCATCTCACCTTTCTTGTGAAACACAGCTTGGAGGAATCTGTGAGCTGATTGGCTGCTCTCAGTGATCTGACAGGGAGAGTAATCAGAGGAAGAAGAGACGGGCGACGTGGCTGCAGGTACTTGATCCTAAAAGAGGGGAGAAATAAAAGGAAAGTTATTTAAAAGTTACTCAACTTACTGTTTTACTATTATTAAAAGACTATATCCTACAATATTCAATATTCTAGGTCAAACAATATAATTATTATAACTAATAAGAGCAACAGAGTATCATAATTCTTACACTGAGTTTGTCCAGGGGAAGGTTGCAGAATGAACACTGAGAGCAGCTTGCTTCGGGGGACCAGTCATCCACCTCTTCTGGTTCACAGTCTGAAAGATACAATAACCCATTATCAGGCATTAATAAATTATGGCATAACAAATGGACAAGAGGTAATATGAGTTTCCAAATTGCATCATCACACTGGACACTTTACATACTGCTGATCAAGTTCAGTAATCATATGATTTATCTTTTCATATGCCCCACTGCTAATATGGAAATACATACACTGATGAGACTACAGTACTATTTCAAAATGTTGCTGCATTATTTCCAGCAGGTAACATTTAAGAAAATGTTCTTGAGAAAGTCTTATAAACAGGTGTGCCTGATCATAAACTCTGAGACCAAAAGTGACCTGAATGTTTCGACTCTTTCATTACACTATTTATACCATTGTAACTATTCTTAAAGGTACAGTGTGTAAGATTTAGATGGATTTATTAGAAGTAATGAGCAATAGTATGCATAATTATGGTTTCATTAAAGTGTAATCCCCAGAAAATAAGAATTGTTGTATTTTCTTTATCTTAGAATGAGCCTTTTATGCCTACATAGGAGTGGGTACAGTAGCCCAGAATGGACAAACCACACACTGGCTCTAGAGCTTGAATTTCACATTTTCATGCTGTAGCAGCTTGGATTTGGAAACGCTTGGAAGATGAAGAATTAATGTCAGAAACAAGAGGAAGCATTGTCATGAGTTTAAGAACTATAATTTGAAGAAATGGAAGATCATCATTATGTTGTAAGGCAAGAAAAGGGAAGACGGTATGAATCCCCATTGTCAAAAAAGCAAAAAACACAAAGAAATGGGATAGGCAATAGCACAAGCGAGGATAACAATTGGTGTGGCCTTTCCCAGATGGAAATCCTTGCTGAGGGACAAATGTTTTCAGAATGATGAAGTAGCCTGTTTTCTGCTGGGCAGGCAAGTTAACTTAAATGCCTAAATGCAAGTTTTTGTTTGATAGCTTTAGCTAGAACATGGTGCTAAGTAACCCACTGTGGTCAAGAAGTGAGTCACTGTTAGTTTTTGCTTGATCAGGTCAGTGGCACTTGTGTTCCGAGCGCACAATTTGTCCTACATTTATGATAATCTCTGAGAAGTGGCTGTGAGGGCTGTTTAACATGATGTATGAGAGCTTTGCTAAATGTTGCAATCTGCAACCTCACTGCTAGATGTCACTAAATCTCACACTGCACCTTTAATGTCTTAACAACAGCAGACCAATGTTGCAAACCAAAGAGCAGGACTGTTTGCTGACAGTATTGGCCTGGTGGCAGGGGTAATTATGTCAATACATGTTTTGTCATTTGAATTTCAAACAAATGATCAGTGTGTTTGATATATACTGTGATTGGGGAAAAAAAAAAAATACATGCCTATTATTCTGTCACCCTCACTGAGCTGCCATCAACAAAAGACAGGCTACAGAAGCTTTGGCTGATATTCATTCAAAATTACTAGATGGGGGCAAATAAATGAATCCCACTCCAACTGTGTTTTCAGGAAAGAATCCATGCTAGGTCTGTATCACACATCTGGTTATGTTCTATCTGGCTACACTCAATCTCCTCACTATCTTAAGAGGATATAGCTGCATGTTTTAAGATGTTGTTTATTGTTCTTCTTCTGATGGGTCTGAAGTACTTCAAAACAGATATGTATAGCAACAAATAGATATTTATCCATAATTCTAAATACAGAAAATATTAAATAAGTCACTTTTAAAACAAGTAGAA